CCCCTTTGAACACCCTGCGCTGGCCGCTGGAACAGAAAAAACTAGCTGCCCTGGATCCCAAGTTACCCTAAATGAGTTTTTTTTTCCCAGCTCCTTAAGGAAATTAGATGCACTCTTTCCCCATGAGCCAAGGGTCTCTGAGCCTATGGAACAAACAAAATGATGGGCAAGTTCTCCATATTTTCTAGACTTTGGGACTCCCTAAAGCGGGCAGCTGCCCCTCCTTCCCTCCCTGGTGTTTGGAGAAAAGGTATCAGCCAAGGTAGATGCACATGTATAGTCCCACACCACCTGCCTTCCCATCTGTCCAGGCTTGAAGGGTGATACCATCTGGACGCTTCTGGCTGCCATCAGATCTGCATAGTTGGGGGTTTGGGTCCCTTACTGCTGGGCATCCAGCTGTTGTGAGGCCTCCCCTTTATAATGTTATTAACCTCCTCAAAGTCCCTTGCAATCTTTCCCTCGGATTTTACGGCAACAAGACCATGGTACCCGAATCGGTCTGCTGCTTCACTGCCAAAAAATACACCTGTGTTCGGGGAGAATAGGGGGCAAGTCGAAGGGCAAAACCGATGCGGATGGTCTGTGGGTCGAGGCGTGTGCCAAGGCTGGAGTTGGGAACAGCCAACAGAAAGTCCCCAGCATGAGGGGCTCTCACTGCCAGCAGGCAGGCTCTATCCTTCCCTGACACACTCTGAAATATATATATATATATATATATAAAATAAAATTATATTTTAAATATATTATATATATATATATATATTTTATATATATATATAAAATATAACATAAGAAAGAAGGAACACTGCAACAGGCCTACTGGCCTATGTGAAGCAGGTTCAGTTCTCCCACCACCTTAAGCCATACATTGACCTAGTGAGGTCAGACACGTCACTTAAAGAAGGAGCACTGCGTCCGACATAGTAGCACAAGCTAGTCAGGTCCAACTCACACCCACCCACACCCACTCATGTATTTATCCAACTTATTTTTAAAACTGCACAACGTCTTAGCTTCTATGACGATACTCGGGAGTTTGTTCCAATCATCCATGACTCTATTACCAAACCAGTACTTTCCTATATCCTTCCTGAATCTGAATTTTTCCAGTTTAAAGCCATTGCTGCGAGTCCTGTCTATGTTAGATATTTTTAGCACGCTATTTACATCCCCTTTATTAATTCCTGTGTTCCATTTATACACATCGATCATATCCCCCCTAATTCTACGCCTTTCTAGAGAGTGCAGATTCAGGGCCTCAGTCTATCCTCATAGGGAAGATTTCTGATAAATGGGATCAACTTTGTCATCCTCCTTTGTACGTTTCCAGATCACTATATCCATTCTGTAATACGGTGACTGCATATGTGTTTATATTTCCAATACGGTGACCAAAACTGTGCAGCATAATCTAAATGAGGCCTAACCAAGGATATAAAGAGTTGAAGAACAACCTGAGGACTTCTATTATTTACATTTCTTCCTATGAAGCCAAGGACTCTGTTAGCTTTATTGCAAACACTTATGCACTGTTGCCTTTTCGCAATCCGTAATATTAAGATCTACATTATTTAGTTTATATGTGACATGGTTGTTTTCCTGTCCAGCATTTAGAACTTTGCATTTGTCTATATTAAACTGCATCTGCCACTTCTCCGACCACTGCATCAGTCTATTCAAATCATCCTGGAGTGCTCTAGTGTCCTCATTAGAATGGAGTGGACGGCCTACTTTGGTGTCATCAGCAAATTTGCTTATGTCGCTATTTATTCCCTCATCTATGTCGTTTATGTAGATTGTGAACACCGCTTGTGACGTGCCCCTATTCTGATTTCTCCCCATTTATGCAAACTCTCTGCTGCCTATTTGTCAGCCATGCCTCAACCCAGGAAAAAATTTCTCCTCCTATTCCGTGTGCCTTAAGTTTCCTCAAGGACCTGTGATGTGGGACCCTGTCAAAAGCCTTACTGAAATCCATATACATAATACCATATTCATTACCATGATCTACCTCCTCAAACACCTCAGTGAAAGAAGTTTGTAAATTCCTAAGATAGGAACGCCCCTTTGTAAAACCATTTTGAGATTCCTTAATCAATTTATGCCTTTCAAGATGGCTACGAATTGCCTCGGCAATTATTGACTCCACAAATTTACCAACTATGGAGGTGAGGCTTATTGGTCTATAGTTCGAAGCTAAGGACCTGTCACCTGCCTTGTAAATAGGTATTATTACACATGTAGTAACACCTGTTCTCACTCACCACCTGCCCTTGCTTCCTCCTACAGGTAGGCTGGATACACCTGCAGCGTCAGATGATCGTAGCGGTGCACACACGCATGATATCCCGCATCTCCCGCTACTCCGTGACTCACGACTCGCACAAGACGTGGACGCTGCATATTAACGGCGTCACGGAGGAGGACAGTGGCTATTATATGTGTCAGATCAACACTGACCCCGCCCTGGCGCAGGTGGGGCTCCTGCAGGTCGTAGGTGAGTGTCTATTAGGATACGGATGTTCTAGGTTTGAACCCCATAAAAATCATTTATTTTTTATTTTTCTCAAAGGATTTATATATATAATATATAAATTATATAAAAAAAATAATATATATATTAAATAAAAAATAATTTTTAAAATATGTAAAAATATATATATACACATACATCCATAATGGAATTCCTTCTTTCCCACCTTAAGAGAGACTCTTGCATTTTACCACCTGAAAGATGACTCCTCAAAGACCACCTTGTCCCTGGAAAATCGACCCTTGGCTAGTGTTCTCCCCTTCAAAAGACCCTTCACTGTGTTCCACCTAAAAAATGATCCTCAGGGACCTCTAGCATACCAGGCAAAAGCGCAGGGGGGGGGGGCGGGGAAAAAAGGGGAAAAAAGGGGGTAAATGGTGGGTAGAGAATATTTGATAAAGGGGTAGTATAAATAGGGGGGTAGGCAAGGGAAGGGATGACAAGGAAGAAGGCGAAAAAAAAATTTAGGAAAGGCAGTAAAAGGGGGCGGGGGGGCAGGGGCGGGGGGGTCAGGCGGGGGGGAAAACAGGAAGGGTTTTATTCTTTTTTTACGTCTGGTCATAACAAGTTATGACTTCAAGGCCCTTTAAAAACCCAGGCTTAAGGGAGGTGAAGGAGGGGGAGACAGGGGTGGGGGGGGAAGGAGGGAGAAAGGGTGGAGGGGGTCTAAGTCTCTATCCTCTCCTTTCTCCTCCTTTCCTTTCCTTTTACTTTTTCCCTTTAAAAGGGGCGGTTTTAGAAGGGTTTTTAATTCCTTTGGCTTTCAGCCGTACCCCGCTAGGCAACACCGGTGGTAAAGGTGTGGTTTTAGTGTCAGAGGTCTGGTTTTCTAGTGTCAGAAGTTGGTTGCTATGTCAAGGTCTGGTTGCTAGTTCAGAGGGGCCCGTTATGTTCAAGTCTGGTTGCTATGTCAGAGGTCTGGTTACTAGTTCAAGGTCTGGTTTCTTGTCAGAGGTCTGGTACTGTGTCAGAGGGCTGGTTAATGTCAGGGCCTGGGTTTTTAAATTTAGAGGTTTTGGGGACTTGTGTCAGGGGGGCTGTTACTAGGTCGAGGCTGGTTTCAGTGTCAGAGGTCTGGGTTCCTATGTCAGAGGTTGGTTCCAGTGTCGAGGTCTGGTTACGGTGTCAAAGGGGTGTGGTTCCCAGTTCAGAGGGCTGTTTTTAAATGTCGAGGCGTTTTAGTGTCAAGGGCTGGTTATTATATCAAGGTCTAGTTACAGGTCGAGGTCTGGTTACTAGTGTCAAGGTTGGTTACTAGTGTCAGAAGTTGGTTTTCTAATGTTAGAGGTCTGGTTGCTAGTTGGGCAAAGGTCTGGTTGCTAGGGCAAAGCTGTGCTAGTGGAAAGGGCTGGGTTTTAGGGACGAGGTCTGGTTCTATGCAGAGGCTGGGTTCCTATGTCAGAGGTCTGGGTTAAAGTGTCAGAGGTCTGGGCATGGAAAGGGCTGGTCCGTTAATGGTCTGGTTTTAGGGCAAAGGGCTAGTTGTTAGTGGCAAAGGTCGGTTCTAGTGGGAAAGGTTAGTTACTAGTGTCGGAGGTCTGGTTGCTAGTGCAGAGGGTTTTGGGTTTCTATTGGCAAGGCTAATTACTGTGTCAAAGGGCTGGTTGGGTGGCAAAGGCTGGGTTTTTTGGGAAAGGTCTTGTTACTATTCAGAGGTCTGGTTGCTAGTGTCAGAGGTTTTGGTTTCTAGTGGCAAAGGGCTAAAGCTGGCAGAGGTTGGTTGTAGGGGCAAAGGCGGTTGCTGTGGCAAAGGTCAGTTTTTAGTGTCAGAGGGGGGGCTGGTGCTGTGGGAAAGCTGGCTGTTTTAAAGGAATACTTGACATATCCTCGTCACACTACTGAATTCCCGCCAGGGTTCACTATGAAATCTCCCGCTCAGGCTGACACTCTGAAGTCTCCCAGCTCAGGTTTACACTACTGAAATCCCAGCTCAGGGGACACACTGAAGCTCCCAGCTCAGGCGACACTACTGATGTCTCCCGCTCAGGCTGACACTACTGAAGTCTCCCAGATCAGGAGTGGACTATTTCTCCAAAGTACTGCACTATCCTGTGGGTTGGAATATTTTTTTTCTCATGGGAATGTGGCACTCGTTGTACAGGTTACAAACGTGTTTTTCAAAGGAACTTTTCGCCCCAGAGTGGATTGTTCTGTCCATTATGAAGATGAAACACTCTGGGCTAAACGTTGCCTTTAATATATGTCCTGACGATGAAAACTCAACCCACACACACACAACACACACTATAGTTCCTACCTCTCACCTTTGGGACTAGTTTCGTTGCAAACCTTTGTAACTTTTCCAGTTTCTTCGTGTGATTTATCAGATGTGGGTTCCATACTGGCGCTGAATACTCTAAGATTGTCCAGCTACCCAGGTTCCAGGTTCCACTACCCAAGTCCCACAACTCAGGTCCCTGGTCTCACAACTCGAGTCCCAGGTCCCGCTACCCTGGTCCTAGGTCCCAGGTCTCATAACTCAGGTCCTAGATCCCACTACCCATTTCCCAGGTCCCACAACTCAGGTCCCAGGTCAGTGTATAGGATGATGCAGTTTGGGAAACACAATTGACTCTATTTAAGATCTAAATTAGAACGGCCCGGTAACATCTGTATCTCATTCGCACATTTGAATAAGGTTTAGAGAGGTAGTTAGAGATTTAGAGAGCTTGTTAGATGACTTTGAGGGGAGTGAGAGGGTTAGATAGTGTGTTTGATGATTCTGAGAGGGTTAGACGGTGTGTTAGATAACTTTGAGAGAGAGAGTGAGAGGGTTAGAGAGCTTCTTAGATGTCTTTGAGAGGGAGTGAGTGGGGTTAGTGGGTTAGATGGGTTTGAGAGGGTTAGTGTGTTAGATGGTTTTGAGAGGGAATGAGAGGGTTAGATAGTGTGTTAGATGGTTTTGAGAGGGAATGAGAGGGTTAGATAGTGTGTTAGATGGTTTTGAGAGGGAATGAGAGATTAGATAGTGTGTTAGATGGATTTGAGAGGGAATGAGAGGGTTAGATGATGTGTTAGATGATTTTGAGAGGGAATAAGAGGGTTAGTGTGTTAGATGGTTTTGAGAGGGAATGAGAGGGTTAGTGTGTTAGATGGTTTTGAGAGGGAGTGAGTGGGGTTAGATAGTGTGTTAGAAGGTTTTGATAGATAGGGATTCAGATAGTGTGTTAGATAACTTTGAAAGGGTGTTAGAGATTGAGAAAGCGTGTTAGCTGACTTTCTGAGGGAGATAGAGACTTAGAGAGTTAGTTCTTGCACAAATTCATCAATACTTTACCCCTTGCACTCCTTCCCTCTCCCCCTCCTTTCTTTCTCCCCTCCTTCCCTCTCCCCCTCCCTCCCCTCCTCCTCTTCCCCCTCCCTCCCCTCCGCGGTCGCCATCCCTTACTCCCCCCCCTTCCAACTAAGAATTTTCATTTATAAGTTTTTTTAAGAATTGTGATTGAATTCTTTCCCCCCCTCCCCCACCACTCTCTCTCTCTCTCTCTCTCTCTCTCTCTCTCTCTCTCTCTCTCTCTCTCTCCTCTCCCTCTCTCTCTCTCTCTCTCACATTCTCATTCTCTCTTTCTCTCCCTCCTGTGTAATATCACCAGTGTCTATCTTTTTCACGAGTGCCACACACCACCCCTGGCAACCCACCCAACTGTGCCCCCCCCTCTCTCTCTTCTCTCTCTCTCTCTCTCTACTCTCTCTCTCTCTCTCTCTCTCTCTCTCTTTCGAAGTAAGAAGTTTTCATGAAGTTATTTTCTTGTTCGTCGAGATTTTCATTTCCTTTCACATTTTCCTATCTATTTTGTTGTGCTGACTTTTTTTTTGTCTTTGTTTTTCCACAGTGTTGCTTGTATCAAGGTTGAGGGGACGGACACCTTGTATCAATGGTTGTGGGGACTGTCCACCGTGTATCAAGGTGTGGGAATGACCCCCTTGTATCAAGGTTGTGGACTGACACCCTTGTTATCAAGGTTGTGGGACTGACCCCTTGTATCAAGGTGTGGGACTGACACCCTTGTATCTAAGGTTGTGGGACTGACACCTTGTATCAAGCGTTGTGGGACTGAACACCCCCTTGTATCAAGGTTGTGGGACATGACCCCTTGTTATCAGGTTGTGGGACTGACCCCCTTGTATCAAGGTTGTGGGACTGACCCCCTTGTATCAAGATTGTGGGACTGACCTCTTGTATCAAGGTTGTGGGACTGACCCCCTTGTATCAAGGTTGTGGGACTGACCCCCTTGTATCAAGATTGTGGGACTGACCCTCTTGTATCAAGGTTGAGGGGACTGACCTTTGTATCAAGGGTTTGAGGGACTGACCCTTTGTATCATGGTTGTGGAACTTGACCCCCTTGTCTCAAGGTTGTGGGACTGACCCCCTTGTATCAAGGTTGTGGGACTGACCCCTTGTATCAAGGTTGTGGGACTGACCCCCTTGTATCAAGGTTGTGGGACTGACCCCTTGTATCAAGGTTGAGGGACTGACCCTCTTGTATCAAGGTTTGTGGGGACTGGACCCCCTTGTATCAAGGTTCTGTGGGACTGCCCCCCTTGAATCAAGATTGTGGGGATGACCTCTTGTATCAAGGTTGAGGGGGACTGACCCCTCTGTTTCAAGGGTTGAGGGACTGACCATCTTGTTCAAGGTTGAGGGACGAACCTCCTTGTATCAAGCGTTGGGGGACTGACCATCTTGTTTCGAGGTTGAGGGACTGACCACCTTGTATCAAGGTTGTGGGACTGACCACCTTGTATCAAGGTTGTGGGACTGACCACCTTGTATCAAGGTTGTGGGACTGACCACCTTGTATCAAGGTTGTGGGACTGACCACCTTGTATCAAGGTTGAGGGACTGACCCCCTTGTATCAAGGTTAAGGGGACTGCCCCACTTGCATCAAGGATGAGGGACTACGGTCCCTCTTCTTGTATCAAGGTTGCAGGAATGGACCTCTTGTATCAGGTTGAGGGA